GTAGGAATGTGGAGACCAGCACACAGCCCGTGTGACGGGTAGGAATGTGGAGACCAGCACACAGCCCGTGTGACTGCATACATTTGGAACTCATTGTGAAAACAATTGTGTAGTACGAGGGCTACAGATGTTCATTCTCTTTAGCTCAGAAATTTCACTTTATAGATTTTAAATTGAACACGAAATTTCTCAAATGAAAGAGTTCTGCTCAAAAACTTTAATGCTCAATTACAACAAAGAAATGGGAAGAACCTGGGAAGGTAGCAAATTAATACAGATATAGGAGAATTACTTAAAATAGGAAAAATGTGTCTTGTGTGATAAGTGAAAAGTGTTGTTTTCAATTATGTATAAAATGTAGATGATAAAATGCAAACTACAAAAGTAAGTGATGTGTCAAAGTAATACAAATGTGATTAATTTCTAATTTTAAAATGTTTAAATTCAATGGTTTCTGGTAACTGGCACAATGATATACTAACTAGGTACCAACAATTCTGGTTTTATAAAATAAGGAAGAATTTTTTTCCTGAATAAGGCATATGGCAAAAAAATCAGTTTACAGTGAGGGTACTTGCATTGCACACCGTGTGCACCTATGTGAAGGAAAGGCAGCTGGCCTGTCTCTCACGCATGTGTATAAATAAATACGGATGTTCTCTGGGGAGTCACCTGAAGATTAGATGAAAGAGTATGTGTGAAAATACCTACTCTGCTCCGTATCCACCTGCTACATTCCAGGGGCTCAAATAATGTTCTTTCAATAAAAAAGGAAAATAATACCAAGGGCCTGTAATATAATGTTAATAAATGTGATATAAATATTATCTTTTCATATTTGACATGAAAGAACCAGAACTTACTATTTTGGGAGAGCCTGCTAACTTTAAAATTCTGTGGAACGTGTGCAATGTGAGGAAAAGCAGAAATTGCTAAAGGACTTACAAGAAAGAAAGCCTTAGGTCAAAGAGGGAGTGTGTGGGAGGGAGCAGGGTGTGTGCAAACTCATCTTTTTTGAAAAAGCAAAATCAAAGCCTAACATGGGAAGGTCCCCATCGGATCTTTAGTTGGCTTCCCAGATGACAGTGCCCACCCTCAGGAAATATCTGTCTTCAACTGACTTTCTGCAAGCCGGGTAAACAAAGACCGAGGCTGCAGCTGCACGCCGTGCTGTCTGGGGTGTTTCTGGAGTGATGGATAAAGCTTCTCACACAGGAATACACTATATTTGAGGAAAAAACACGTGCCCCCTTGTCCTTCTGCATACTTAATGCACCAATACTTACTTGTCACAGATAAAAACTTCTACCCACACGACCGGCTCATTGGAGGACACAGTCCTCTGTGCGTCCTGTGACATCTGTCAGTGCCGGGACTTTGCTATAAAGCCCCGTCTGGCTTAGCAGACACATTTCCTAGGCTCTCTTTAAGAGGGTCAGAGAGGTAACCGGCCTCTAGCTCCCCCAGACTGGATGTTATTGTCTACGCCTGTGAGCAGGGTAACCCCGACTCTGAAAAGCTTTTGTGACCAAAACATACCTGTTTCTTCGGGGCCCTGCGGGGCGCGCTTGCTCCTGTTGCTGCGACCGGGGCTGCTGTGTGCTGGAGCCGGTGGTGTGAAGATCTCCTGTGAACGGAAAGAGCCCTGGTTACTGGGAAAGCGGCCGGGCGAGGCGGCCGTGCAGGCAGATCTGGGCCTCAGGCTGCAGCCCGGCAAACTCACTTTCCGTCCCGGGGTGACAGCCGTGGGCGCCCCCGCAGCTTGCTCGGGAGGGGCTGGCAGCTGTGCGGCTTGGTGGCCCTGCAGTTCCGCCCGCAGGCTGGCCAGGTCGGCTCGCAGGGTGGCCAGTTGGTAGAAAGCCACCACGGCGAGGCCGCAGGACAGCAGCGCCAGCAGGGAGGTGGCGGCCAGCAGCTGTCCATCCTTGGAGGCCCGCACGGAGGGGCTTTCCTTGGGCGGGACGGTGGGAACACACTCCTTGGGTTTCATTTTTTCTCTTTTCCAGAGGCCAGCAGAAGGGCGTGACTGCTCCCTGTGCGTGGAGTCATCCACTTCGCTCCTGGAGCTTTGAAGGTTGGGGCCTTTAGAATCAGTGACCACAGGGCATGGACCATTTCCTGTGATCTGTGCTGCTTGGTGTCCTGCCTTTACCGCGGTGCACGGCCCGGCTCGCCCCCTCAGGAGAGTTCTCCCCTATTCTCTTCTTTCTGCCTTTGTGCATCTCTGCCCTGACTTTACAGGAGGTTTACTGGCGTTTGCCCTTCTAAGGATTGCTCAATCCATCTTCCTCATTTCACTTTCAGTTTTTGTAAGAATTTTAAGGCCATCTCAAAACACTCCTGCTCAAGTAGATTCAAGGCTCCTTAACTACTGAGGAAGCTTGGAGTTTAGACGGGCACTCTGGAGAGGTAGCTGGTAAGATACACACATTTCAGGAGCGCGGGCCTGAGCACTGTAGGCGGTCTGTGTCCACTTGGGGCCATGTGCCTTTATAAGGAAGAGGAAAAAGGACATTAAAAGCTCCTACCACTGTAATAAAAATAACGAATGTGAAGGTCACATAAGCTAAGTGCTTTAGCACTGAATTGTACTTGGCCAGGGAGTGATTTATTGACATTCTTCAAGTACAAAATAAAATGAAGTGTCCTTAAAGGCGACATGGAGGTCCACTGGGGATTTTTCTTGTTATCTTAACGGTGCAATAAAAAGAATGTGACTAAATTTAGAGACTTAATTTAGATTAGCTATCAGGCGGCTTCTGGATATATGGGTGACTACATTTTTAAGGAGAACATGCATGAACTTTTTGCTCTGATACGCACTGCCAGGGAGTCAATTATGATCTGGAGGAATCTGGTCTCCTTGGCTGCTCTGACCTCTGAAGCTTGAAGTCCCTGCTCAGTTCAATACTGTTTTGGGGGAGAATCAGTCTTAGCTCCAGCTTCAAATGCCTCACAGCTACCATGAGGTATCTAGAGTAACTTTTCTGCAACGTCCCCGTCGCTGACTGTGCCAGTCTGACAGGGATGTGTACCAACCGTCCTTAACCAACCAGAGCCAGTTACTTTCCAATCTTTGTTGCTGGACTTGGTGCGGCTGCAAGGACTGTCCCACTCATGTCATCCCGCCTTGCCTTGACGGCTGGTTCCTGGACATTTGCCAGTTTCTGGTTTAGTGTCCCCCAGCACCTAGATATTGATTCCTCTTCAACAAATGTTACTGAGCACTTTTCAACCCCCGGGCGGTCACCACTCCCCTATATGCTGAGACTATGGGGCATTCACTCTGTCTCCCTCTTCATTTCAATGCAATCTGAACAAAGAAAGTGACAGATATAATTAATGCAGAGACAGGTCTGAAGGCAGGCTTCCAGGGTGCAAATGCTGCCTCTGTTCCTCACCCTCTTTAGGCAAGTACGTAACCTCTGCGATTCAGTTTCCTCATCTCTAAGGGAGGATGAAGACAGCAACCATCCTTGAGATTTGTAGCGAGGACCCCAAGAACGTGGAAATGAAACACGTCTAGGATGCTGCCTTTTATTCACTCACTTTTACTCATCACAAAGTAGGAATGAGATACTTTTCATATTGAGAACAATGCCATGATTCACATTTTACACGATCGTCTTTGTAACATCAGCGAGGACTTCCCAAGCAAATACCTGTTGGGGTTGGTACACCCTCGTGTTTGCCAGGTGTCACCCAGTCCCCCTCTGATGAGTTCCCCTTCCCTCTGTGTCTCACTGCCAAACACTGTCATCAGACTTACTTGTTGTATCCACTGGGACAGTTATTTTGCCCTTTCTTTCTGTAAGTTCCCAACTTTTAAAAATGTTTCTCTCTTGGTCCCCCCCCAGTCAACTATTTTCTAATTTCTCAGGTGGAAATCTTCCAGGAGTATGTTTGAAAACACATAATACGCAGCCCCAGTCCTTGCTCCAGATCAGTTAGGGGACATATGCTGAACAACCATGCAATAAGAAATGGCATTAGTTGGGGGACTGACCGTATCAAGCCCTTCTTGCTGAAAGTAATTGCAGTTCACTCAGATTATTTGTGTGTATCTGTGTATATGAACTAAATATGTGTAGAAACCAAAGGCTTCGAGGCACTGCTGGAAACCAGCTACACTCTGCTCCCACTTGGGATGCCCTGGAGTCACTAGGTATCTACGTGAGTCAACAGTCTTCCACTTCTGAGGGTCACTGCTCTCTATATTCTTCAGTAAAAATTCCAAAGACAGGGGATGATTTCCGTGCATTAGGGAATTACCTCTTCCTGTGTTGGCCTCATGCCCAACCACCTCAAGAGAGAGTCACTGGCCAGCCTGTGTTCAGGCCATTTTAAAACAACTGTGCTGGCTGAAGTTGTGGGCAGTGCTGTGCCCAAGAGGAGATAGTGTTGGTTCTATGAAAGGCAGCCAGGTGGCTTCCCTCTGACCGACCCAGACCTGGGCAAAGAGACATTGCAATTTGCATGTTCTCTGCAGGGAGCAGGCAACTGCATTTTCTTTAAACACAGGTAGAAAACTAAGTGTTTCATGGCTCTTAAATTTCTTATCAGATAAACAAAGGGAAGTTATTACTCCATTAATCAAGAATCTGTTTCCTGTAGAGGAAATGGTTTGACAATAATTTAACTGAAATTCTGTTAAACGAAAAGCATATTCATAGCCATTGAATAACATACCTCACCACAAGTCTATTCAGGGAGAACGTTATTGTATCTGAGCCGCAGATTGTATAGCGAGCTTGTATGTCCCTGGGTTACTGTGAGTATTTTGCTACTTTTACGCCCTTCTTTTTCTCAACTCCATAGTAAAGCATTCTTCTGTTACACAAGTACACCAAACTTAACATCCAAATTGGGATTTGTGGTTGTGATTGTCAAAATTGTCCCAGCCACTCAGAAGCAGGCAGATAGGATCGAAGAGAACATAATATATGAGTTTATCCAAGGGACAGGAACAGAGCAGAAAATAAACATTCACTCTTTGGCCAAGTTCTTATGTTGACAACGTGAAAAATATTTTAAAAATTGGATTATAAATTTCTGGTTAAGTAGTACGGTGAAGAATTAGAGCTTTGATGGATTTCTCCGATACTTCCTGCTTTGAGAAAACAAGTGTCTTTCATAAGAAGCTGGCCAGTTGAACAAGGAGAAAACAGCTTTTCTAGACATGGGGATGCACTTAAAAATAGACAGGTATCTAGTAAAACTGCACCTTAAAGAGCTCAGGATGTGGAAGAGAGTTTGATAAACCTAACTCTTACTTTTCAAAAAAAAAATGTTTTCTGGGAGAAAAAATATGGTATGTGCAGTCAGTTGCTATTATAGTTATATTGAAATGATTTGAACGGCTAAATGCTCATCACTCTGTATAATTATTTTTTAATTTTTTTATTTTTATTCTTATAATTATTACTATTATTATTATTTTTTTTTTGCAGTTTTTGGCAGGGGCTGGGTTTGAACTCACCACCTCCAGCATATGGGGCCAGCACCCTACTCCTTTGAGCCACAGGTGCAGCCCCTATTTTTTAATTTTTTAAACTTTTATTTGACACATGATTATAGATACTAATGGGTGCAGTGTGATGCTTCAATGTGTATATATATATATATATAATGCATAATGCTCAAATGAGGATAATTAGCATATCCATCATCTCAGGTATGTATCATTGCTATGTGCTGAGAACATTCAAAATCCCTTTCTCTAGCTATTTTGAAATATACAACGTATTGCTGTTAGCAGTACTCAACCCGCCGTGCAGTGTCACACCAGTCCTTTTCCCTCTAACTGTAACTTGGGACACACGACCACCCTCTTCCCATCCTCCTTCCCCGGCCTCTGGTAACCCCCACTCTCTTCTCTACGCCCATGAGAGCAACTACTTTAGATTTCCTATGTGCATGAGAACACACAGCATTTGTCTTTCCGTGCCGGGCTTATTCATTTCACATAATGTCCTCTAGGCTCATCCAGGTGACTGCATATAATGGCATTTCATTCTTCACATGGCTGACTGAGCAGTATCCACTGTGTTACACCATGTGTTTCAATCCATTTATTTGCTGATAGACACGTAGGTTGACCTCCTATCTTGGCCTACATGAACAGTGCTGCCATGAACACAGGCATCTGGGTATCTCTTTGACATCCTGACTTCATTTCCTTCGGATTTATACCATATACTCTGTGCAATTTAAGCACAAAGTAAAGATGTCTTATTCAAAAAGAGACAATTCTGGTCATTTCTTAGACAAAAGTATATTGTGAGTGAATGGACATGTTAATTTCTATTTCCTCATAGTTATATTAAAAAGAGAATTGTGCATGTACTTACTGGAGCTTACTTTTTGTTAATGTTAGGGAATAAAAATCCACTTGTAGAAGAACTCAAACTCAAGAGTTATATCATCAGATTTATCTCCTCAGTTTATTGTGTGATTGCTTTCAGATTTAATGCTTTTAAGTTATAGCATTTTAAGTGTGTGTTTTTAAGAAATTTCTGTTTATTTTAATGCTACTTTCAATTAGACTGTCATAAAACAATCCTTCTTTTCTGAGCCAAACTTCAGTAGAGCCTAGAAGTCACTGAATGGTAGTGAGAGACTTCTCGCTGTAATTGTCCTTAGGCAGAAAAAACCGACATAAGGCTTTTTTTCTTCAAGGTAAGAATTTCCATTACTATATTTGAGACCCAAATCTCAGTGGGCCTTGGGTGAATGAGTGAGCAGAAATCTGTGGGTAGTGGCCACCGTTAGCCTCACATGACTGTGCCCAGCGTCCTGGACCTCTGGGAACTCACTTAGGAATTAGATGTTTAGGGTTAATCCTTGCTGTCCCTCAAGGATCACAGTAAACAGAAGCCTCCCCCAAATGCCTCACCACGGACAGGAAGTTTCCTGCCAGCATGATGTTGGCTGGTAGGATGGGGGTGACTGTACAGATCAGTAAGGGAATGCAAGGTGAGAACTAGGGTAAGACCCTGAAAACTCCAGGAATGCACAAGCCTACTGTAATTGCTACTCTGGAGTTACGGAGTAAAGATTTTTAACTGTTTTCATAGATAACATCACCTTTTCGAAACCTGAAGGTAGTTTCTGAGATGTATCCAGGCCCTGCCTTCCAAGGTAATGATTCACTCACCCAGACCAGTGGCCCATCCTCAGGA